AGAAATATGTTTTAAAAACATAAGAGCCAGTACATTTTTGGGAGTAGTATCGAGCACCGAATTGGGGGAGCGTTCAAAGAACCCACAGCCCCCATAGAACCATGTTAGCCACCATGGGTAGAAAAGGATCATACTTTTTAGATGAATCCTTTTCAGATTAGACTAGTGGATCCATTAGGCAGTTCAGGTCTTATACCTTTGGCCGGGTATAAGATGCTCTGGCAGCGTGAGGTCGATCGCTGTATCATCACTATACCTCTTATGTGATGGTTGTCGGTTAGAGAAACTCCCACAGCAGTTATTGTATTTTTCATACACAGAGATTATTGTATTTTTTATATACATCAGTTCATTGTATTTTTATACACATTTCAGGCTTATTGTATCCTTGTATACACACAGAGTTCATAGCATGTTTTAAGCAATCTTTCTTTATATCGCACTTGTTTTAAATTGCCTTATATTGAAAGAAGTCAGTCAGGTTGAGTTAAGTTGAGCCAGGTAAGCTATTCAGTTTCTTCCAGTTTTCCTTCTAGCCTTTGTTGCTTAGTTTTCCAGCTTGCATACTCGTACATTCCATGTACTGATGCCAGTTGGCCTGCATCGTTTGATGATGCAGATTCAGGTACCCCGGATCAGCATCCTGCACGTCGTTGATCCAGCTGAGCACTCCAGAGTCAGTGGTGAGCCTCCTTGCATTCCGGAGGACTCAATTATTTTGTGTTCTTAGTTTTTGTTTTATTAGGATGTTGCGGGGTCTGTCCCAACATCCATCTCAGTATTTTAGAGGCTTCATAGACAGACAGTCAGTCAGTTAGTTTTGAGTCTCTCATCTATATATATGTAAATATTCTATTTTGAGATTCGAGTTGCCTTTATGGCCATATTTTATAAGTTAAGTTGTTTTGTAATATTGCATTGCATTGAGTTATTCTGTTGAGGTTTCCGCTGAGTTAAGAAAGCCAGGCCAAGGGTTCGCTTGGGGCTAGAAATGGTCTCCGGGTGCCGGTCCCGCCCAGGGTGTAGGCTCGGGGCGTGACAACTTACTTAAGAAGTTAGGATCGATACTCTCGTTGAGACTTGAGAAGCTGACATCTTCTGCTGTGGTAGAAGGAAAACTCTACTATGAATTCATGTCAAACAGGACTACAGGATTTGTATTACTAGCTTTTATGCAGCCATAAACTTCAATTGTTGGCAACAACACACGTATATAATCATCCCTCGTACAGATTTCAAAAGGTTACACATTTGCAATTATATTAAACAATTGAACAGCAGAAATCCAAATTAATATAATATGAGCACTGACACTTATGTTAGCATATACTATAACAGTTTCCTAAAAACCCCATTCCTTAGAAAAAGGGGAGAAAACAGATGACCACTGGCATTCACATTCCTGTGTGGCTTTCAAAAATTAGTAATCCAGTAGTAACTTATACTCAAATGCTTGAAAGATGACTTGTATCAAGAAATTTAAAACAAACTAAGCACTATATACAGTCTCAAATTGGTTTATTCAACCTGAAGTAATTCAATATGTAGTAGTGTAATCTCAAAACAGAAATGCAAAACAGAATATCACACAATTATGAATTATTGCATTTTGTATAAGCAGATTATCAGCATGAGTCCGCTATCAATGTCTGCATTTTCATCAATATTATTTATTCCATCAGCCACTTGATCTATATCTTTGGTCGTTTCATTGGCGAGCCTCCATCTTGACCAACATTTTGCTCATTACCACCTCCATCTTGACCAACATTTTGCTCATTACCGCCTACATCTTGACCAACATTTTGCTCATTACTGCTTCCATGTTCATCTGCATTTTGCTCATTACCGCCAACATTTAGCTCATTACTGCCTCCATGTTGATCAGTATTTTGCTCAGTACCACCTCCATCTTGACCAACATTTTGCTCATTACTGCCTCCATGTTGATCAGTATTTTGCTCAGTTCCACCTCCATCTTGACCAACATTTAGCTCATTACTGCCTCCATGTTCATCAGCATTTTTCTCATTACCGATTCCATCTTGACCAACATTTAGCTCATTACTGCCTCCATGTTGATCATCAACATTTAGCTCATTACTGCCTCCATGTTCATCAGCATTTTTCTCATTACCGATTCCATCTTGACCAACATTTAGCTCATTACTGCCTCCATGTTGATCAGTATTTTGCTCATTACCACCTCCATCTTGACCAACATTTAGCTCATTACTGCCTCCATGTTCATCAGCATTTTTCTCATTACCGACTCCATCTTGACCAACATTTAGCTCATTACTGCTTCCATGATTATCAGCATTTTTCTCATTACCGCCTCCATCTTGACCAACATTTTGCTCATTACTGCTTCCATGTTCATTAGCATTTTGCTCATTACTGCCTCCATCTTGACCAACATTTTGCTCATTACCACCTCCATCTTGACCAACATTCTTCTCATTACCGCCTCCATGTTGATCAGCATTTTGCTCATTACCGCCTTCATCTTGACCAACATTCTGCTCATTACCGCCTCCATGTTGATCAGCATTTTGCTCATTACCACCTCCTACAACTTGATCAACAGTATGGTCAGTACCTAGATAAGCATTTAGCCTGATAAGATGCATCATGTAATCAGGAATATCGTCATCATAATCTTCATCTGAGCCTCCATCTTGATCTGCATTTTCCTCATTAGCTTGGAAAAATTGGTTCTCAGGAATTAAACGAACCAACGGTAGATGATTCTAATAAGTAAGCTTGTCCCTGCCACAGAATACTCATTTGTATTAACCCTTAAAAGTCATAATGCTTATGTGTAAGTGTAATTAGAAACTTACAATCTCATACAGAATCTTCCTTCTTTAATATACACGTTCTCTCGGGGGACTCCAGTCTGGAGAAATAAAAAATTCAGTACTTTTTTTAAAGAAAAGCAACAAAATGTTCTTGTTGATGATCTTTAATATCAGTATCTTACAATCATCCACCCGATCATCTTTTCACATTTGCTACAGTAAGTTTTGGCTGTGCTAGTTATACATTCTGTTTGACTATAAATCACGTTGTTTTGTACACGAACATTAAACCTGCATATATAAATGAGCATTAGACCGCAGAAAAAAGTGTATACGACATATCTCAAGTTGTTGATACTTACACCCAATTAAAGAGCCCTAGTTCTTCTGATTGACTCTGCAAAATGTACAAGACAAGAAAATGAACTATAACAGAGTAGTGCTTAATTAATCAGAATTCATGATACGAAATATTGGAATCATTAGCAGTTTCATGAAATAATTCTTCCTAAACGAAGAAATTATATTCGAATCGTTACCAGCCGAACATAATCTTTGAACCATGCAATATGCGCTCTGCACCGAACATTAGGACAGTGGATGCTACCATTAGAAGGGAGCGCATGAGTGTTGTGATCAAGGAGACTGTATCTAAACATTGTTGAATGAAGAAGCAGCAACTCAGACGAAAATGCAGAGAATGAATTTTATGGAAATGACAAGAGAGAATGTTCATATATATATAGAGAGAGAGAAAAGTCACTTCTTGATTCTTGAAGTTACAGTTAATTCTCAATCCATTTTCCCTCCAAAACAATTTTCTTTTTAATTTCTGACATATTCATATTTTATTTGGATCAAAACTGTATAGAGGATAAAAAACCAATTATGTTTCCTTTTTTTAATCTCAAATTCCAATCCATTTTGAGACTCTTTATTTGCATTGATTTAATATATATTCCTATATTGAAAGTATAAATTATTATCTATTTTATATTTTTTAGGATTTATCTATCTATTAGTAATTTCTTATTAAAAAAATTGTTGAGTTGATATTCAAATTGTGGTTATAAAATTTAAATAACAACATATTAAAATTATTGAGATTTAGTGGGTCAAATTAGGCGGGTCAAGACCCAACCCATTTTTAAGCCCATTATGCCCAACCCATTTGAGTCCAAAGTAAACCACACTGCATAACATTTTTTAACATTTTCAATCCGGTCCGCCTCGCCCTATATTAACCCTGCTTAATTATTCTTGTTAAGATTAGTGAGCAAAATTAGTTAGTTCAATATTCAAAATAGGAAGTGTATAAGTTAGTTAGTTGGTTACATAACTACCTATCCAAAAGTTAGTTAGGAGCTCTAACTAACTAAGTTCCAAAAGTGTTGTATATATAATGACTCTTGTACTTATTTGTTTCAATGAATCAATAAGAGAGAATTGTGAGAGAACTTCTAAATCTCATAAATCAGTTTCTTCTATATCAGATTGATTCTTCTTCTTCTTCCTCGTCTATTACTTCTTATTCTTCTTCTTCTACTGATTATCTAGTTCTAATCTTCATTAACTTCAGTTCTCATTTGTCTAAATCATGTAATCATAACTTGCCTCAAATTTCAGTATCTCAGTTCATTTTTCCCCTATCCATGCCGTTGTTAATATAGTTATTGTTCTTAGATATATATCTGATTAAATATTTAATTAAGCAATAAATTTAATTAAATAGTCATATTTTATTTACTAAAGACGGGATCAGAAGTCTAACAATTGCATTTTAAATATATACATGTAGCATACTCATCTAACATGGACTTTCGGACTTGGGATAATATGAGCACTGGCACTTAAGATAGCAAATACTCCTCTGTGGCTTTCAAAAATTAGTCATCCACAAACTAAAGTTGAGTAGCAAAATCTAAGGAAATATCAGTAATCGATTATACTCAAATGCTTGAAAGATGACTTGTATCAAGAAATTACAAACAAACTAAGTAGCATATACAGAAAGAATGGTACTCTCAAATTGGTTTATGCCAACCTGAAGTAATACCATATGTAGTACAATCTCAAAACAGAAATGGAAAACAGAATATCACACAATTATGAATTATTGTATTTTGTATAAGCAGAATGTCAATGTCTTCATTTCATCATTAGTTGGTCCATCACCCAGTTGGTCTGTATCTTCATTCAGTTCATTGGAGCGCCTTCGTTTCGATCATGATTCTGTTCATTACTGCCACCATCTTGATCACCATTTTGCTCATTAGCGCCTGCATCTTGATCAGTTGTGTCTCCATCTTGATGAGTTGTCTCCATCTTGATAAGTAGCTTCTTGATCAGTACCACCTCTATCATTAGCCTCTTGATCAGTTCTTTCTTCATCTTGATCAGTTGTCTCTCCATCTTGATCAGCTGTCTCTCCATCTTGATCAGTTCTGTCTTCATCTTGATCAGTAGCGTTTCTGAATCTTGTTCATTACCATCTCCATCTTGATCAGGATTTTGCTCATTAGCGCCTAAAGCTTGTTCATTAGCATCTCCATCTTGATCAGTTGTGTCTCCATCTTGATCAGTTGTCTTCATCTTGATCAGTTGTCTCTCCGTCTTGATCAGTTGTGCCTTCATCTTGATCAGTTCTGTCTTCACCTTGATCAGTAGCGGTACTAAGTCTTGTTCATTAGGAACCTGTTCATTACTATCTCCATCTTGTTCAGGATTTTGCTCATTAACACCTAAATCTTGTTCATTAGCATCTCCATCTTGATCAGTTGTGTCTCCATCTTGATCAATTGTCTCCATCACGATCAGTAGTGTCTCGAGCAGTAGCGTCTCGATCTGTAGCCTCTTGATCAGTTCTTCCTGCATCTTGATCAGTTGTCTCTCCATCTTGATCAGCTGTGCCTTCATCTTGATCAGTTCTTTATTCATCTTGATCAGTAGTGTTCCTGAATCTTCTTCATTAGGAACCTGTTCATTACCATTTCCATCTTGATCAGAATTTTGCTCATTAACACCTAAATCCTGTTCACTAGCATCTCCATCTTGATCAGTATTTTGCTCGTTAGCACCTAAATCTTGATCAATAGGAACCTGTTCATTAGCATCTCCATCTTGATCAGCATTTTCTCCATGAGCATCTCCATCTTGATCATTAGGAGCCTGTTCAGTATCGCCTCGAGAGAGAAGATCAAGCAATGTTACATCATTCCAGCAAATAAGCTCGTCCCTGCCACAAAATACTCATTTGAATTAACACCCTACAAGTCCAAAATTTGCAAATTTGTAATTAGAAACTTACAATCTCATATTGTTAGCGCCTAAATCTTGTTCATTAGCATCTCCATCTTGATCAGCATTGACGCCTAAATCTTGATCAGCATTAGCGCCTTCATTCGATAAACTAAGCTTGTCCCTGCCACAAAATACTCATTTGTATTAGCCCTTACAAGTCATACCGCATATGTACAGTCTCAATTTGCAAATTTTAATCAGAAACTTACCATTTCATAAAGAATCTTCCTTCTCTAATAAACATGGAAGGTTGGGTGACTGCAATCTGGAGATATCATTAAATCAGTATTAATAAAAAGGAGCAACAATATCGTCTTGTTCATGAAAACAAAATACTCTATAAGCTATTGATACAAATATCTGTTGAAGAATCTAAAATATTCATTGGAAAAGTGGATGCAGAGAGAGAAAGAGTGAGAATCCATACAAGAACAGCGGTATCCTCGAAGAGTGCAACTCGAGTTCTGCAATCAGCAGGAGCCATTCTTCCACAACAAAATTGAGTTGAAGGCAAATACTGATATAGAATAGAAACGGAATGACGAGAGAGAACGTTGATGTAGAAATGGGAATGAGAAGAGAATACTTATATATATATAGAAACGCAATGCCACTTCTTGATTCTTTAATTTACCATTAATTCAAAAAGGAGGGAAATTTGAAACTACTTCACATTGAACAAATTAGGAAGAAAAATGATTTTATTTTTTTTTTTGAATAATTAAGATAGTAACTTGGTCTTCTCATCATAAGTAAGTAATATAAGGCTGAAAGATTGAAGTAAATATGATGACTTTTAAAATATTATGGAGTAACTTATAAGATTATTGTGGATGATTCATTAAGCTATATTAATACGACAAAAAAAAGCAATTTAAAATCTAGTTTGCATACATTGATTGTACTATCTAAATTCTTAATAAAAAAAATTTCATATAAAATTATTAAACTACGTGTGCTAATTAAATTAATAACTGATTCAATGTATTACTTCCTAAATCAATGTATGATTTCTTTAGGATTACTCCTTAGTTTGCTATAAATCTAGGAGGTGAAAAGACTTTAAAACATTTTGATTTATAAATATTTAATTTATTAAATAATTGATAGCATTTAAATTTAATATATAAAATCGTAATCTAACTTTTGCCTAAAATTTTTTCCACTTTTAATATGAATATGATGTGATGATATGATATAAAATAGGGAAAATTATGCGGTTAAGCAAATTTATACTACTTAATTAGTCATCATAACTATAGTTTGCTATAATTACCACTCGCGACTAACATTAATCATTAATTACGTGGGCTGACTTCAAATTTGTATAATTAGCCACATTTGTATAATTCGCAACAAACAATTCTTCATTTGATTTGCATTTGTATATCATGGTTTGTATTTGTATATGACAATGATTTCCTTTGATTTTTCAGATTTATCACCATATACATTCAATCTTTTTTGTATAACTTTTTAAAGTTTGTATAAACGTGTAATTTTTGGATTTTGTATAATATAATTTATATAATGTAATTTGTATAATATAAATTGAATAACTATTTAAATTAAGTTCATATGTTTATGTTTGTATCAATTCGATATTTCAAGTTTTATCATATTTGTATAATTTCAGACTTTGTATTACTCAATTATACAAAACATACGTGAATTATACAAATTATTGCCCTCTCTCGCTCGCCTCTCTCCTCCCTCTCCCAATCTCGCTCGCCTCTCTCCTCCCTCTCCCAATCTCGCTCGCCTCTCTCCTCCCTCTCCCAATCTCGCTCGCCACTCTCCTCTGTATAACATGTAGTTACGAATCGTAATTAGCAAACTATAGCTATGGAGCATAATTAATCTATTTTTGAGTGGTTATATGCGAAAGTTCCCCAAAAAAATATACTTATGGGCTTACATTTATAGAAAAAATTGAAATCCCAAATCATACTTGTTAGAGAATTTAAAACTTGAAACTATATTCTCAACTTACATATCCAAACTTTGATTTGAAATCATGAGTACATATGGAACAGTAAATTGACACAAGATTGAGGGAGAGATGAACAGGCGAAATTAACTCATGTAAGACATATAAAGACTGAAGTAGTTTCTATAACGAAGGTTTCGTGGTGTAGTTGGTTATCACGTCAGTCTAACACACTGAAGGTCTCCGGTTCGAGTCCGGGCGAAGCCATATTTTTGATACATTATTTTCCTTTTATGTACCAAACTGTACTGATGATATGTAATGCAATGCAATCACAAAACAGAAATGGAAAACAGAGTATCACAGAAATTATGAGTTATAGCATTTTGTATAAGCAGAACATCAGCATGAGTAGGCTATCATCTTCATCATTAGTTGATCTAGACCGTACCTCCATCTTGCTCATTAGTGCCTAAATCTTGATCAGTGTTTTGCTCATTAACGCCTAAATCTTGATCAGTGTTTTGCTCATTAACGCCTAAATCTTGATCAGTGTTTTGCTCATTAACGCCTAAATCTTGATCAGTAACGTCTCCCTCTTGATCAATTGTGTCTCCCTCTTGATCAGTTGTCTCCGTCTTGATCAGTTCTTCCTTCATCTTGATCAGTTCTGCCCTTGCGTTGACCAGTTCTATCTCCCTATTAGTCAGTTCTATCTCCATATTGATCAGTAGCGTTCCTAAATCTTGTTCATTAGGAGCCTGTTCATTACCATCTCCATCTTGATCAGTTGTCTCCATCTTGATCAGTTGCCTCTTGATCCGTTCTTCCCTCACCTTGATCAGTTCTTTCTTCATCTTGATCAGTTCTAACTCCTTCTTGACCAGTTCTATCTCCTTCTTGCTCAGTAGCATTCGCAAATCTTGTTCATTAGGAACCTGTTCATTCCAGAAACTAAGCCAGTCCCTGCAACAAAATACTCATTTCTATCAACCCCTACAAGTCATACACTCTCAGATTGCAAATTTGTAATTAGAAACTTACAATCTCAAAAGGAATGTTCCTTCTCTGAAAAGCATGCTGTGTGGGGTAATCTGGAGAAACAAAAAAATCAACAAAATCTTCTTATTGATGAAAACAAAATGCTCTTTAATATTAGTATCTTACAAATTTCCACCCGAGCATTATTCCACATTGGACACAGCGAGTATCAGCTATGATTTTACCAATTTCTGATTCATGATAATTCACGTTCTCTATATTAACCCTGCATATATATAAAGATATGTCACTTGCTAAAATCATATGTAATATGAAATTATGAGACTTACAGCCTAGTAAAGATCCCTCCTGGCCACACCTGCAAAATGTACAGGTTCTGTGCTTTGTCAAGTAATATAACAGAGTAGAATCTAAAATATTGAAATCAGTAGCAAATTCATCAAAATTGTTTGGTTTCAAGAAGCATAGAGAGAAAGAGTGAGCATCCGTACAGTAACAAAGAGATTCTCGATGAATGCAACTCGAGTTCTGCACACACGGCAATGGATGGAATCCATTGAGTTGAACACAACTATTGATATAGAATGGGAATGACAAGAGAATATTGATATAGAAATGGAAATGACAAGAGAATGTTGATATATATATATATATATATAGAAATGCCACTTCTTGATTCCTGAATTTACTGTTAATTCAAAACGGAGGGAAATTTGAACAATTTATTTTATTTTTCCCATTAACAAGATTCTTCAATTTACCCTCCAAATCATAATTCATATTTATGCACCGACTTAATACCCTTGTATTTCTGTTTTGCTTTTTTTTTTAAAAAAAAAAAGAGCAATTGTATATTAACAAATGTTATTGTCAAGTGAATTTCAATCTCAAAAATCAGAAACTTTGCTCAAAAAAAGATACGCTATGGATGCAATTAAAAGTGACACAGCTAATCCATGGAAAATGATTAATTAGCTCAGCCTATAAAAAATTGGGTTTTCAAATAGACATTTTTATTTGATATATTATAGGGAAAATGCTCAAACTCATATATGTCATTTTCGTTTGAGAAAAGGCTTATTCACACCATTTTTCGTTTGAGAAAAGACTCATTCATGTTATTTTTCGTTTGAGAAAAGACTCATTTATGTCATATTTTAAGGAAGGGAAAAGGCTCAAATATGTCATCGAACTTTGACAAAAGGCTCATATTTGTCATCTGTTAAAAGTTTGGCTCATATATACCATTTTCATTTGAGAAAAAGCTCATCCATGTCATTATTTGTTAACTAAAAATAGTTTCCGTTTGCAAAATCTTTTGTTACATGTGGTCAATAATGATTCGGCCATGCCATTAATTAAATCATTATTTTTAAAAGGGAAACATTCAAATATGTCATCAAACTTTGAAAAAAAAAAACTCACTCATTTATGTTATCCGTTACAAGTTTGGCTCAATTATACCATTTCAGTTAACAAATAATGGTAGTTAACACAAATGACTTGCATCAAGAAATTAAAAGATAATTTCTCTCAAGCGTCTTGGTATTGGATCCGCTCTTCTGTTAACATGAACATGAATTAGATACTATTCGAATTCTTTATTCAATTACTTTTCTCCAAAATGAAGTAATAACAATATGTAGTGTAATCCAAAAAACAAAAAAAGAAAACAGAATATCACACAGTTATGAATTAATACTTGTATAATATGAACTCTAGTGATTGTACTCCGTGGAAGTGTATATCTTCATAAATCGTAATAAGCTATGTAGTATGGATGTCTGTATTTTCATCAATAGTTGATTCAAATGTTTGCATTTAGATCAATATTGCCCATTCCCTCAGCGATATCTAAATCTTGATCATTAGCATCTCCATCTTGATCAGCATTTTCCTCATTAGCGCCTCCATCTTGATCATTATTGCCTTCAGAGAGAAAATCAAGCAACGTTACATCATTCCAGTAAGTAAGCTCATCCCTGCCACAAAATACTCATTTGAATTAACACATTACAAGTCATACCACATATATACATGTACAGACAGTCTCAATTTGCAAATTCGTAATTAGAAACTTACAATCTCGTATAGAATCCTTCTCTGAAATTCCTAAACAGTTGGGAGACTGCAATCTGGAGAAATCATAGATTCTGTAATTTAAGAGGGAAAAGGGAAGAACAACAAAGTCGTTTTTTAATACTACTAGTATCTTACAAGTTTCCACCCGAGCATGTTTCTACAATGGACACAGCAAGTCTTGGCTATGGTATTGCCATATACTACTTGAGGTACGTCCTCTGCTACATCAACATTAAACCTGCATATACGGCTCATTAGGCAATAAAGAAAATCTCAAGATGTTGAAATTGCATGAGACTTACAATTTATCAAAGAACCCTGCTATCAATAAGTTGTTTTCCTGCAATGTGTACGACACAAGAAAAAAAGTCAAGAAATATTACAGAGTACTGAATTACATGTTTAATTAATCAGAATTCATGATACGAATGTCTGTAGTCCACGGAACCACAAATCGATACTATAATAATGCAGAGAGAGTGAGAAATCCTTACAGTCAGAATGTAATCCTCGACGAGTGCAACTCTAGTGCTGCACCTATGACAGTGGATATAATCAGAAGAAGGCCTTTCATTAGCGCCTAAATTTTGTTCAGTAGCGTCTCCATCTTGATCAGCATTTTGCCCATTAGCATTTCCATCTTGATCAGTTGTGTCTCCATCTTGGTCGGTATCGTCTCCATCTTGATCAGTAGCGTCTCCATCTTGAACAGCATTTTTCTCATTTGCATCTCTATCTTGATCTGCATTTTCCTCATTAGCGCCTAAATCTTGTTCCTCGTTAAAACGAAGCAACGGTAGATCATTCGACCAAGTAAGCTTGTACCTGCCACACTCATTTGTATTAAACCTTACAAGTCATACAGCTAACAAATTGCAAATTTGTAATTAGAAACTTACAAATTCATAAAGAATCTTCCTTCTCTGACATACATCTCCGGTTGATGGATTGCAATCTGGAGAAATAAAAAAGTTCAGTATTTTTAAAAAAGCAACAAAATCTTCTTGTTGATGAGCTCTTAAATATTAGTATCTTACAAATTTCCACCCGAGCATAGTTCCACATTGGACACAGTTAGCATTGGCTATGGTACTTCCATTTAGTGTTTCATGATTATTCACATCGTCTGATACTTCAACATTGAACCTGCATATATGCAGAAAAAAAGTGTTGGCAAATAACAAATCTCAAGTTGCTGAAATGTCGAATTGCATGAAATCATGATACTTACACTCTATTAAAGATCCCTCCTGACTCAACCTGCAAAGCATACAAGAAATATAATAAGTTGGTTCTGAGTTTAGCCAAGAAATATAACAGAGTAGTGATTAATTCATGAATTATGATACAAATAGCAGTAGAAAATAAGGGATTGAATCATACATATAGTTATTTTCTAAACGAATAGAAACATTGAAGTATTAAAGAAAATGTCTGTAGTCCACAGAACCACAAATCGATACTATAATGCAGAGAGAGCGAGAAACCCTTACAGGGACGAGTGTGCAATGGATGTAATCAGAAGGAGGTTTTTCAACTAAATCGTTTATTGTCATAAATTGTTGAATCAAGAACCACATCCTAATAGACATGATTCACCTATTACAGAATAAAGAACAAAGTGTAAGGCAAATATCAAAGCTGCAAAAAACAATGGAATGAACAGACTAACAACTCACCAAATAACAGGGACAAAAGAGTTGGTGATCAATGAGAATCAAGAAAAACAAAAATGGGTGAAAGTTATAACAGAGGAGAATTGCTCAAAACTGAAATTCTTGATTCTTGAATACTACTAGTTGAGAAGAGTTCTGTTTTGAAATCGCTCTGAAAATTTTCTATTTTTCCCCTTACAAAGATTGGGTGGAAATAATCTACTACAAATTCATGCCAAACAGGACTACAGGATTTATATTAGTTTTTAGGCGTTTTAGGCAGCGATCAGCAATTGTTGGACATACAGCAACTCATCCCTCTTGAATTCACTTGGACTAGCTTCTTATTAGAATGCATGCGTCCACCAGTTATCACTGGACCAGGTCTCTCGACAAAATAATAATGCGGAAAATAAATAACTTAAATAAACCAAGCATAATGATTTTACGTGGAACCTCCTCGCTCAAGGGAGATGAAAACCACGACCTGTAATCACAAGATTTCAACTTAAACTCCATTTCACTCAAAACAGAGCAAATCTTCAGATTACAAACTCTTGTAACCTAGGAATTAAAACTCTTTAATCCCTTCCCCCTTACTATAGCAACTCTACTAAAAGCAAAATAACTAAGCAATAACTCTATTGCCCACTAAACCAACTACCTTTAGTCGATCTAGACTTCAAGAACCCAACAAGGATAACTCTAGCCACCAACTCAGATCTCGAAGATAAGAACATAAACAAGCAGCAATTTTGCTGCACTCACACATCAACTAACTCTAGTTGACACTCCTAGGCAACTCTACCCAAGAGAACATCAAAACAATTATGTAAAAAGGCTGGACTAAAGCATAGATCATTCGACTAACTAACTCCAGTTAATCCGACTCAACCTAAAGACTTAGACAAGTAACCAATCTACTATTTCCTCCGTTTAAAAAAAAATGGCCTAATTTCCTTTTTAGTCTTCAAAAAAGAATGATCCCTTTCCTTTTTTGGCAACACTTTAACTTCAACTTTCCACGTGGCATGTTTAAGGCCACAAGATTAAAGGACATTTTGGTACATTTGACAAAACTTTAATTTAGAACCACAAGATTAAAAAATCTTCTTTCTTTTCTTAAACTCCGTTACAAGTCAAAATAGGTTTTTTTTTTTTTTTAAACGGAGGGAATATCTCTTATAACTTAGAAGTAGTTTACAAAATAAGAACACAAGACACAAAGCTCAAAATACAACAAAGGCGCTTTAGCACTCCATCGGGTCCCTTGTTGAGTATGAGCAGTGTTCTTCCTTAAAGATGATTTTTTCTTTGTAAGCTTATGAATTTTCAGAATTCAAAACTTTGTTTGCCAAAACTTGGATTTGTCTTTGGAGAAGATAATATTATCAAATGGACACAAACCCCTAGGACCAAGCCATTGCCTGAGCCTACTGCTATGAAAAGACATGACCAGTCACAACAGAGTTGGCAGTTGTGGCAGCTTTTAGACAGGGGTTCTTTTTTTTGTCTTTTTCACGTAAGCAGTCTTTCCTTGACCAGGTCTCTTGTTAGATCCGGAAGTTTGTCAGATCATCAAAACTTCAAATCAGCTTAAAATAACACTTCTCCATTTCCACAGTTTGAAACATGTCTGTTATAAGCGTCTTCAGTTGGACAAGTAATCAAGGTGTAGTTGGTTATCACGTCAGTCTAAAACACAGAGTAGTTAAAGTTTGAGGATCATTTCTTAGCCAAACAAGCCAAGGCTGAATCCTCAAATGTGATTGCTTCGTCCACTATATATAAGAACAACGATTGTGCACTGGCACTTTAGTTAGATATACTAGTAGCATTTACTATTAAACAAAATCTAAGGAAATAAGTAATCCATTATAAACCTTTAACCAATCGATTATACTCAAATGATTGTATCAAGAAATTAAAAACTGAGCAGCATATAGAGAACGGTAGTACCTGAGCTCAAACATGTAAAAAGTTCAGTGTCAATTGGGTTATTCCAACCTGAAGTAATAATATGTAGTGCAATCTCAAAACAGAAACAGAAAACAGAATATTACACAATTATGAATTTAGCATTTTGTATAAGCAGAATAACAGAATGAGTAGGCTATCAATGTCTGCATTTTCTTCAATATTATCTATTCCATCAGCCACTTGATCTATTTCTTCCTTCTTTTCATTGGGGGGCCTCCATCTGGATCATGATTCTGTTCATTAGCGCCTCCCTCTTCATCAACATTTTGCTCATTAGCACCTCCATCTTGATCAACATTTTGCTCATTAGCGCCTCCATCTTGATCAACATTTTGCCCATTAGCGCCTCCATCTTGTTCAACATTTTGCTCATTAGTGCCTCCATCTTGATCAACATTTTTCTCATTAGCGCCTCCATCTTGATCATGATTCTGTTCTTCATCTGTATCTCCATCTTGATCAGTATTTTGTTCTTCATCTGTACCTCCATCTTGATCAGTATTTTGTTTTTCATCTGTGCCTCCATCTTGATCAGTATTCTGTTCTTCATCTGTCCCTCTATCTTGATCAGTATTTTGTTCTTCATCTGTACCTCCATCTTGATCAGTATTCTGTTCTTCATCTGTACCTCCATCTTGATCAGTATTCTGTTCTTCATCTGTACCTCTATCTTGATCAGTATTTTGTTCTTCATCTGTACCTCCATCCTGATCAATATTTTGTTCTTCATCTGTACCTCCATCTTGATCAGTATTCTGTTCTTCATCTGTACCTCCATCTTGATCATTAGGAACCTGTTCATTATCGCCTCCAAAGGGAAAATTAGGCAACGTTTCATCGTTCCAGAAACTAAGCTCCTTCCTGCCACAAAATACGCATTTGAATGAACACCTTACAAGGCAAACCACATCTATATACATGTACAGACGTCTCAATCTGAAAATTCGTAATTAGAAACTTACAATATCATATAGAATCCTCCTACTCTATGACTCCTAGACGGTTGGGAGGCTGCAATCTGGAGAAATCATAAATTCTGTAATTTAAGAGGGGGAAAAAGCAACAAAATCGTCTTGTTATCATGAAACTCAAATGATCTTTAATATTACTAGTATCTTACAAGTTTCCACCCGAGCAGGGTTTTACATTGGACACAGTAAGTCTCGGCTAGGTTCATGCCATCTGTTACTGGATGATATCGCTCATCCTCTGTTACTTCAACATTAAGCCTGCATATATGGCTCATTAGGCAATAAATAAAATCTTAAGATGTTGAAATTGCACGAGACTTACACTTCAGTGAAGAACTTTGCATTCACTAAGTCGTCTACCTGCAATGTTTACAACACAAGAAATAAGTTGATTCTGAGCTTAGTCAAGAAATATAACAGAGTAGTGCTGAATTCATGATACAAATATAACAGGGATCGAATGATACATATTGTCATCAAAAGATACCACATACTGATCGAATAGAACAATAAGTCGGTTCTTTTTCTTCTTTTTTTCTAAACGTATAGAACAATTCAGAAGAAATTAATTGAAAATTTGGACTATTAAAGAACCACAAATCAATAGCAAGAAATCATACAGAGTGAGAAATCCTTACAGAGTGATCGTAATCCTGAACGAGTGCAACTTGAGTTCCGCAGGTACGACAGTGGAAGTATGCAGGCATGTTTCACCTATTACAGAATAAAGAACAAAATGTAAGAGAAATAGAAAAGCTGGAAAAATCAATGGAAAGAAGAGAAACACTTATTACCAGGGAGAAAAGAGTTGGTTGATCAATGAGAATCCAAGAAAACAAATAATGGGTGGGAATTATAACAGAAAAATCAGTTCTTGATTCTTGAATACTACTAATTGAGAAGAGCTCTGTTTTGAAATGGCTTCACCAGCTCTGAAAATTTTTAAACCTTTTACTAGGGATAAACTGAATATTTTACAGTTTATCCTTTCTTTTTTTTTTCTACCTCCAAAAGTATTTTCTTGTGTGAATTTCAATGGTAAAAACTTATCAGAGTATATATACTGGTGCGGCAACTTACTTAAGAAGTCAGGATCCTCTTGTTGAGACTTGAGAGGCTGACATCTTCAGAAATAGACTTGCAGTGGTAAAATTCACGCAAACAGGATTTGTATAAGATTTTAGGCAGCGATAAGGCAACAACAAACGAATAGTCATCCCTCTTTAATTCATTTGGACAAGATTCTCCATTCCGCAGTTTGAAACATGTCTGTATTTACAACCTAATTTTTATTTTTATTTTTCCTAATAGACATTTCACACCTATTACAGAATTAAAAAATCTGCTTTGAAAATTTTCTAACCTTTTACAAGGGATAAAAAAAATCTATTATTATTTTTTCCCTTACGAAGATTGAGAGGAAACAATCCACAAACCCGGTTAGGGATTAAATTCCTTAAGTGAGTTTTCCTTTATGTGCCACACTGTACTTGTGCTGCAGGATCCTTTTGTTGAGACTTGTTGTGGTGAAGGAAAACTCTACTACAAATTCGTGCTTTTCAAACCTACAGTATTTGTATTAGTTTTTAGGCAGCGATAAACTTCATGCTCTCAATCAGCAATTGTTGAACATACAGCAACTCATCCCTCTTGAGTTCATTTTGACTAACTTCTCCATTTCCACAGTTTGAAACATGTCTGTTATTAGCTCCTTCAGTTGGACAAATAATCAGGGTGTAGTTAAAGTTTGAGGATCATTTCTTAGCCAAAGCTGAATCCTCAAATGTGATTGCTTCGTCCACTATATATAAGAACAACAATTGTGCACTGGCACTTTAGTTAGATATACTAGAAGCATTTACTACTAAGCAAAATCTAAGGAAATAAGTAATCCATTAGTAACTTTTAACCAGTCGATTATACTCAAATGCTTGACAGATGACTTGTATCAAGAAATTAAAAACTAAGCAGCATAAAGAGAACGGTAGAACCTGAGCTCAAACATGTAAAAAGTTCAGTGTCAATTGGTTTATTCCAACCTGAAGTAATACCATATGTAGTGCAATCTCAAAACAGAATATCACACAATTATGAATTATAGCATTTTGTATAAGCAGAATATCAGAATGAGTAGGCTATCAATGTCTGCATTTTCATCAATATTATCTATTCCATCAGCCAGTTGATTTATATCTTCGGTCGTTTCATTGGCCGGCCTCCATCTTGATCATGATTCTGTCCATTAGCGCCTCCATGTTGATCAACATTTTGCTCATTAGCGCCTCCATCTTGATCAGCATTTTGCTCATTAGCGCCTCCACCTTGATCAGCATTTTGCTCATTAGCGCCTCCACCTGGATCAACATTTTGCTCATTAGCGTCTTCACCTTGATCAACATTTTGCTCATTAGCGCCTCCACCTTGATCAACATTTTGCTCATTAGCGCCTCCATTTTGATCATGCAACGTTACATCATTCCAGAAACTAACCGCCTTCCTGACACAAAATACTCATTTGAATTAACACCTTACAAGTCATACCACATATAATCCTGTGCAGACGGTCTCAATCTGCAAATTCGTGATTAGAAACTTACAATCTCATATAGAATCCTCCTGCTCTATGACTCCTAGACAGTTGGGAGGCTGCAATCTGGAGAAATCATAAATTCTGTAATTCAAGAGGGAAAAAAAAGAACAACAAAATCTTCTTGTTATCATGAAACTCAATGATCTTTAATATTACTAGTATCTTACAAGTTTCCATCCGAGCGGGATGCTACATTTGACACAGTAAGTCTTGGCTAGGGTCATGCCATCTACTAGAATATATTGCTCGTTCTGTGCTTCTTCAACATTAAACCTGCATATATGCATATTAGGCAATAAATAAAATCTCAAGATGTTGAAATTGCACGAGACTTACACTTCAGTAAAGAACCCTGCATTCACTAAGTCATCTACCTGCAATGTTCATAACACAAAAAAATAAGTTGATTCTGAGCTTAGTCAAGAAATATAACAAGTAGTGCTGAATTCATGATACAACTAGCTGTAGAAATTAAGGGATTGAATCATACTGATCGAATAGAACATTAAGTTGGTTATATTTGTTTTTTTCTTTATAAGCGAATAGAACAATTCAGAAGAAATTAATCGAAAATTTGGAGTATCAAAGAACCATAAATCGATAGCAAGAAATCATACAGAGTAGAAATCCTTACAGTGTGATCGTAATCCATAACGAGTGCAACTCGAGTTCCACAGCTACGACAGTGGAAGTAATCAGAAGACATGTTTCACCTATTACAGAAAAAAGAAGAAAATGTAAGAGAAATATAAAAGCTAAAAAATCAATGGAAAGAAGAGACTACCTTCTCACCAGGGAGAAAAGAGTTGGTAGATCAATCAGAATCCAATGAAACAAAAAATGGGTGAAAACTATAACAGAAAAATCAGTTCTTGATTCTTGAATACTACTAATTGAGAAGAGCTCTGTTTTGAAATGGCTTCACCAGCTCTGTTTTATAATCGCTCTGAAAAGAGTTGGTTGATCAATGAGAATCTACTAATTGAGAAGAGCTCTGTTTTGAAATGGGTGGGAATTATAACAGAAAAATCAGTTCTTGATTCTTGTATACAACTAATTGAGAAGAGCTCTGTTTTGAAATGGCCTCACCAGCTCTGTTATATAATCTCTCTGAAAATTTTCTAACCTTTTACTAGGGATAAAAAAAAATTAATTATTATTTTTCCCCTTATTAAGATTTTACAGTTTATCCTTTTTTTTTTTTTTTCTTTTTTTGAGACTACCCTCCAAAACTATTTTCTTGTGTGAATTTCAATGGTAAAAACTTATCAGTGTAATTTCTTGTGTGAATTTCAGTATATATACTGGTGCTGGAACTTAATTAAGAAGTCAGGATCTCTTGTTGAAACTTGAGAGGCTGACATTCTTCAGAAATAGACTTGCTGTGGTGAAGGCCAACTCTATACAAATTCACGCAAACAGGATTTGTATAAGATTTTAGGCAGTTTAGGCAGCGATAAGGCAACAACAAACGAATAGTCATCCCTCTTGAATTCATTTGGACTTAGATTCTTCATTCCGCAGTTTGAAACATGTCTGTATTTACAACCTATATGGACTGCGTAGTTGGTTATCACGTCAGTCTAACGCACTGAGTTGTTAAATTTTGAGGATCATTTCTTAGCCAAACAAGACAGAATCCTCAAATATGACTGTTTGGGTCAGTATAATATACAAGAACAACAATTGTGCATATCTACATTGCAATAGCCTCCTGACAAAAGGAATTGTACAAATTTCAGAAGGTTGTATATTTGCAATATATTAGACAGCAGACTACGGAAACCTGTAGTATAATATGAGAACTGGCACTTTAGTTAGATATTCTAGTAGTATTTACTATCAAGCAAAATCTAAGTAAATAAGTAATCCAGTATTAATTTTTAACCAATCGGTTATACTCAAATGCTTGACAGATGACTTGTATCAAGAAATTAAAAACTAAGCAGTAAGCAGCATATAGACCACGGTATAGTACCCGAGCTCAAACATGTAAAAAGTTCAGTGTCAATTGGTTTATTCCAACTTGAAGTAATAATAGGTACTGCAATCTCAAAACAAAAATGGAAAACAGAATAAGCAGAGTAGGCTATCAATGTCTGCACTTTCATCATTAGTTGATCCATCACCCAGTTGGTCTACATCTTCATTCAGTTCATTGGAGCACCTCCATCATGATCGTGATTCTGTTTATTATGCCTCCATCTTGATAAGCAATTTTGACAGATGACTTGTATCAAGACATTTAAAACACAGTGCTGCACATCTTGTTCAATTTTTCTGAAATCATATGTAATATTGAATTGAGTGAAATCATGATACTTACATTCTATTAGTGATACCTACTGGCTAACCCTGCAAGATTACAAGAAAATGAGCATAATTCAGAAATCCATACTTGAGCAACGAAATCCTCAACGAATGCAACTCGAGTGCTGCACTTATGGCATTGGGTGCAATCAGAAGTACTCATTCTGAATTTTCGATTGGAATTAGAAGAAGAAGGCTTTTCATTGTTTCCTTTTCTATCAAAATTGAGTTGGAAGACAAATATCAAATGGAAATGAGAAGAGAAATGTTTTGATATAGAAAAGTCACTTCTTGATTCAGTATTCAGTAGATTATAGTCAATTGCTTGAATACTTGACACATGACTTGCATCAAGAAATTAAAGGCAAACTAAGCAGCATATACAGAACGGCAGTACCCCAGCTCTAACATGTAAAATTCTCAATTGCTTTTCTAAAAAATGAAGTAATATCTGTTCATATGTACTGTAATCCCAAAACCAAAAAAGAAAGCAGAGTTTCACACAATTATGAATTAATACTTGTATAGTATGAATTCTAGCGACTGTACTCAGTGGAAGTGTATGTCTTCGTAAATCGTAGTAAGCTGTTTCTGATCAGCATAAGGCAACTACAACAACCTCCATTTTGTTCATCAGTATTTTGCTCATTAGCGCCTAAATCTTGTTCATTAGTAACCTGTTGATCACAGCCTCCATCTTGATCAGTTTTGATCATTATTAGCGACTACCTCTTGTCCATTAGCATCTTCATCTTGATCAACATTTTGTCTATTAGCACCTAAATCTTGTTCTTTAGGAACCTGTTC